TCTGGGCGATGGCCAGTGCCGATGACCTGCTGGCTGGCACGGGCATGATGAGGGCGCCGCCAGTCGCACAACCACCAGAGTTCAGTGGCACCTGACGAAAAGCGAGAGTCTTCAAGGCCCGCGTCACCATTATCAACCCTAGTTTACGGTGGTAATCTGCCAACCTTATCAGCCACCATTTACCGCTACACATCCCTCTCTATGACACACATTTACAGCTAATCCAAATGGATGCAAATCGGGGAATATGATTGCGATGGTAATGAGCCAACACTGGCACCCCCAAATGAGAGAAAGTTCGTGAAAAGAACTGCCCTGCTGTGTGCACCCTAGCCCCATTGGGGGTCACTTCACCAAGTAGGTGCTTGCATAGGGAAAGAGAGGAAAAGAGACGGTGTGTGGGCGCTGGCGCCAGTTACGATTAAATGTCAAAAGTTGGCAGTAAGCAGTGGAAGGCGCAGTCGCCACATGGAAGCATCTGATTGGTCCACGTCAACTGTCTCCATGTGGAAGGCGCTGATTGGTCGGCAGTGGGCAATGAAAAGAACCGGCATTTGAGATTTACACATCACTTTTCACGTTCTCTCCTCACCGTACACACCACCAGTGTCTTTCTCTTCCAATCTTCTGGTCCCCGGTGTCAGTCCCTGTTTGTCGTCTGTTGTCGTTCTGTCACCCACCTGGAGACTGAAAGTCAAAGTCGCCTTTTGTCAACAATGGCATTTCGCTTGTTTGTCCTGGCGGCCCTCGCCTGCTCGGTGACCGCCACCGTGTACTTCAAAGAAGACTTTGCCGATGATGGCTGGCAGTCACGCTGGGTCCAGTCGAAGCACTCTGGCAAGGAACTTGGAGAATTTGTCTGGACGGCTGGCAAGTTCTACGGTGATGCCGAAAAGGACAAGGGTAAGGAGAAGAGTTGCTCAGTACGATTGAATAACTTTGACTAACACACCCACCTTTCTCTTGTCAACAGGTATTCAGACTTCCCAGGATGCTCGCTTCTACGCACTTTCCTCCAAGTTTGCTGACAACGCCTTGGCTAACAAGGACAAGGACTTGATTGTTCAGTTTTCGGTGAAGCACGAGCAAAACATCGATTGCGGTGGTGGATACGTGAAGGTCTTTGGCTGTGATCTTGATCAGGCTGATCTGCACGGTGACACGCCATACAAGATCATGTTCGGACCTGACATTTGCGGCCCTGGCACCAAGAAGGTGCACGTCATCTTTAACTACAAGGGCAAAAATCTGCTGATCAACAAGGAGATTCGCTGCAAGGATGACGTCTACACTCACGTCTACCGACTGGTTGTCAAGCCTGACAACACGTACAAGGTCCTCATTGACGGCGAAGTTGTTGAGAAGGGCGACCTCGAGGCCGACTGGTCATTCCTCCCGCCAAAGACCATCAAAGATCCTGAGGCAAAGAAGCCCGAGGACTGGGACGACAAGCCCAAGATTGACGACCCCGAGGACACCAAGCCCGAGGACTGGGAACAGCCCGAGTTTATTCCTGATCCTGACGCCACCAAGCCTGAGGACTGGGACGATGAGATGGACGGCGAGTGGGAGCCACCCCAGATCAACAACCCTGCCTACAAGGGCGAGTGGAAGCCGAAGCAGATCGACAACCCCAACTACAAGGGCCCATGGGTGCACCCGGAGATTGACAACCCTGACTACAAGCCTGACGCTGCTCTCTACGACCAGGGTGAGGTGTGCGCCGTTGGCTTTGATCTCTGGCAAGTGAAGGCCGGCACCATCTTCGACAATGTCCTCGTCACTGACAGCGAGCAGGAGGCTGATGATGCCGTCGAGGATCTGCTGAAGAACCGCGTCGCCGCGGAAAAGAAAATGAAGGAGGAGCAGGACGCTGAGGAGGAGAAGAACCGCAAGGCCGAGGAGGAGGCGAAGAAGGCCGAAGAGGGCGACAAGGACGCCGAGAAGGAAGATGAGGAGAAGGACGATGACGAGGCTGAGGAGAAGCCAGTCGAGCACACCGAACTGTAGACGCAGTCAAGTGAACAAATATCTATTTCTGCGTCCTAGGGTCTCCTAGGGACCCTAGTGATCTCATCACTTGTTCGGTCCCTACGCGACCTTTTTAGTCCTCTGTTACCTCTCCCACCCCTTTGTAAATTCTTCCTACATTTTTTTTACAATGCATCCACTTTTTGTACACTAATATTATTAAAAATCGTATTTAAATGCAATCTTGACTTGTTTCATGATAAANCCCCTTTGTAAATTCTTCCTACATTTTTTTTACAATGCATCCACTTTTTGTACACTAATATTATTAAAAATCGTATTTAAATGCAATCTTGACTTGTTTCATGATAAATTTTATTTTGCTGAGCTAAAAACTGCTAAACAACAATTCTGAGATAAGATCTAAAACTGATCAAGGTGTGAATCGAGTCCCGCCCCCCAGCACAGCGTGTTTGTGAAATTCAAAATTCCACTAGATAGTGCAGCGGCTGACTACGTCACGTCACGTCACGTCCTCTATGACTCTGCCCAGTCAGCTCACCGGCTGTTTCTACTGCAGAGGGCTAAATGCACGTGTCTTGTTGCTGTTTTTACGATTTCTTTCCCTTTTCCGCTCTGACTGCAGCAGTCGCGTCCGATTCACAGCGCCAATTCACCGGTTTCTGGATCAATCTGACTCCTCACAATGGTACGTACTGATACTGAAAAAATATAGAGCCAGTTCTGTGTGTTTATTGCTAAGCCATCCACTTATCGCGCCACTTAATCGCCTTCTACAGCCATCCAAGTACCTCGTTGAAATTGGCCGCGTCGCCCTTGTTGACTTTGGCCCCGACGCCGGTAAGCTGGTCACCATCGTCGATGTTATCGATCAGAACCGCGCCCTCGTGGACGGAACTCCTGGTGGTGTGACTCGACAGGCCATCCAGTTCAAGCGACTCCGCCTGACAAAGTTCCGCCTGGACATCCCTCATGGCACCAGCTCCAAGGTGGTCAAGAAGGCCTACGCAGCACAGGAGATTGACAGCAAGTTTGCCTCCACGCCTCTGGCAATTCGTCTGAAGCAGCGAAGCCTTGTAAGTACCTGTTGGAGAGTTGGGGGAGTGCAAAGGGGGAGGAAGTTTTGACCGGCACCTTGTTTACCTTCTGACTAAATGTTTGTTTTGCTATTCCTCTAATTCAGAAAGCCGCCATGACCGACTTTGACCGATTCAAGCTGTACAAGGCTAAGCAGCAAGTAAGTGTCACAGAATCAAGCTCTGACTTTCTGCACTTTTACTAACATTTGAATTTTTTTCTCTCCTCTCAGTACAACCGCATTGTCAACACCAAGCTGGCGCTGCTCAAGTCAAAGGGCAAGACCGCATTGAAAGCCAAGCAAAACGCCAACAAGAAGACCAAGAGCAAGAAATAAAATTGTAAATCTGAGCCGCTTGTGTTTTGTTCCATCTAAACTCCAATAAATACGGTTTTTGCGTTTTCATTAATCCCCGGACTATTGTTTTTTTGCAATTTCAGCTTTTTAGAAGCGTAGTCTTGTTGATTTAAAAGATTTCTTTCATTTTCCAATAAAATGTTTTGGGTGACTGGGCTCGTTACGTCATCTGCGTAGACAGCTCATAAAAATGTGTTTGGAAATTCCAAACTGAATTTTGTTTACATCGACTTTAGCGTTCTGGTCATTTAATCTACCTCTTACTTCAAACATGAGAATCATGTACACTGCCGCTGCTGTGGCAGGAAAAAGCTTCTTTTCTCCTTTACTGTCATATGCTCTACTGCTTGCAATATTTTGTAGGCGACTGCTCGATACCTTTTCTATCTTTTTGATTGGCCAGGTGGTCTTTGCTGTGATTTTCAGCGGTATTTTCGTCCTCCAACACCGAGGAAATTCATTTCACATTTCGGTTTGTATTGATAATTAATCATTTTATATTGAAGTAATTTACGCATTTCACTTTTATAGATTGTTGTCCGTTCCCTTTTGCTTGGGATTGTGTTCACAGTCGGCTTTCATGTGGCTTTGCTTGGTGTCTTCTTCGATAATCAACCGTACTCGTCAATTCAGCTTTCTATTGGTCTCTACTTTGTAGTTCTTACCATCTTTCACTTTTCGGAATTTCTCATCACTGCCATCAACCAGCACAGTGTTACGACAGAGGCGTTTCTCTTAAATCACAGCCGAGAGTATCACTTGGCTCTGACGATCTCATTGATTGAATTTGCGATCGAATCCTACTTTGCTCCCGAAGTCAAGTTTTACTTTCCACTACTGATAAAGATCGGTTTTGGAATATGTCTAATATGCGAGTCAATTCGCAAAGTAGCAATGTGTACAGCTGGCCAGAACTTTACGCATATTATTGCCGACGAACATCAACCTGAACACTTTCTGGTTACAACTGGAATTTATGGCATCTGGCGTCATCCGAGCTATGTTGGTTGGTTTTACTGGTCGATTGGTACACAAGTAAGTCATTAAGTCGTTGAGTCTAACTAATAAGCAAAGCTTATCAATTTTTATTTGTTTTTAGATTTTGCTTTTGAATCCCGTCAGCTTTATCGGTTACTGCATTGTGAGCTGGCGGTTTTTCAAGTTAAGAATATACTACGAAGAAAAGACATTGACCAATTTTTTCGGAGCAAAGTACATTGAGTACAAACGAACAGTTCCCACTGGATTACCGTTTATTGACGGTTTTTGAAACTTAGCAGTTTAAAACTGTGATCCCACCTCATTGTTTTTCTTCTCAACAACAAAATAACTAAACCTTTGGCTTTTGATGATTAAAATGAAATGTAAACAAGAATCCCTTTATATCGAGAACAGGTGCAGTTTCTTTCAAATGTACCATTTGAAATGTTGGTTATTCAGAGAATGCAGTACATGAGTGACCCTTCCCTGTAAACACATGTGCCAGTGTGTTGCTGTTTATCTCAACAACATCGAGGACTGCCTTCAAGGGCATTTTTGGCATCACGAAGACTCTTTTCTATAAGACCATCATCACTGACAGGAAAGCTGCAAGACTGTTCTCTTTCTGTCCTCAGCTACCACCACCGCTCGACGATGATCAAACATCCGAAGAAGCGCTATCAGCAGCTGTTCGCCACGGCACATCGGTACTTTGTCTACGCTAGCATCGCATTCACAGCCGCCACCACTGCCTTCATTGGCGTCAGCTTCTATCAGCACTTTCAGAATCGAAAAGCAGTCGTCGCCGGAAACACATCGGTAGAGCAGACGCCCAGTGACCCAGAGGTTCTCGAGGATAAACCCATTAAATAAGCGCACAGTCTATCATCATGATTTTCAGAAAATTTGCTTCATCGTTCTTGTTAAAAGCTAGTCCACTCTTTGTTGCCCCTAGAATCAATTTAAGGTATGTCGAGACTTTTCATCAAATCAAATAAAAACTTATTTGGCCAATTCATTTCTTTCTTTGGCAGAAACTTCTCTACTGCTCCAAGCTGGAAGATCCTTCGCCTGAATCACATTGCTCTCGGTACACCGTCCACTGAATCGGCCGCCTCTTTTTATTCCAACAAATTTCATCTATCTCCTTCTGCAAAAGTCCCTCAGCCAGATCATGGGGTTAACACTGTTTTTGTCGATGTCGGTAACACCAAACTCGAACTTTTAGATCAACTAGGCGACAAGTCGCCAATAGCAGCGTTCATGTCCAAGAATCCCGCCGGCGGTATTCACCATCTCTGCTTTGAGGTGGACAACATTGATGCCGCTGTTGAGGATTTGAAGGGCCAAGGAGTTCGACTGCTGGGTGACAAACCGAAAATTGGCGCCCACGGAAAACCAGTCATTTTCATTCATCCAAAGGACTGTGGCGGTGTACTTATCGAGCTGGAGCAAGCTTAGTGACACACTTCTAACGAGGGCTCTTTCTGTACTTAGGTCTTCTATACATTATTCAACAAAATACTTTTTTTCAATTTTTTTTATAAAATATAAAAATAACAAAGATTTACATGCTCGTGATTTAGTCTTATAACACAATAATTTCATAAACATTCCCGAACAGTGAATTGATTGAATATACCTACTCATGCAAAGTTCAGCGAGTGCTCAAAGAAACAAGTCAAATATGCCTTCATCTTCAGCAAGGTTAAAGTGATAGTCCTGCATGGAGGGAGGCGGGGAAAAACGTAGGAATGGCAAGTAGATGTCGGGAAGAATGATGTCATCAATGTCTAGCCTGACTTGCACTTGCGAAAGTGGCGTCCGGCTAGTGGCTGCGTTCAGCTGTGCACCATCGCCGGTGGATCCTGAATCCTGACTCGATTGCGAGGATTCAGAAACGGGTGCTACTGTAGAGGGCTGTGTAAAGAAAGAGAAATGGAAGATGGAGGTTAGTTACAACTGAATTTGCGAAACATTCGTCACCGAAACTCACCTGAGATTGCTCTGCAGCATCTCCAGTACGTCCTTTCTTTTTACTCTTTCCCTTTTTCTTGTTGGAGCTGCTGTTTGAAATCTTTTCTTTATCGTTCTTTTCAGTAGTATCAGTAGTGTTCTGACTATTGTCATCAAAAATTTCCTCCTTTACTGTCACATTTGGCGAGGTCGCTTCAACAGGTGGGACAGGTGGTGACGGTGACTGGTGATCCACCATCTCTTCAGCTGGTGGCATAGACAATGAATCGTCGCTGCCTTTTCTCTTTGATCCTCCTCTAAGCGATAATACAGAGTCTTGTGATGATGTTTGCTGGTCAACTTTTGAGCGAATTGTCGGTACAAAGAGGTGATGCTGGGCCGCACGACGAGGAGAAAGATGACGTGAGGGCACTAGAGAGATAGCTTCTCGCACTTTTCGAGTTCCTACCTTTCGTTTGGGTCCACCAGTCGACTGCTGTTCTTCAGTGTCCCTTTGTAGCGAACTCTCTAGCTCCTCTATGTCTGGTTTTGTCTCCTCGGACTCTGCATATGTGATCACAGACTCTGATGACGGTATCCTGGTCGCTTCACAAGACGACTGCTCCATTGCCTCTTCATCCTCTTTGACCTTATTTTCCTGCTCAAAGCGTTGATCTTCAATCAGCTTTTGAATTCGATCCAATTTTGCGCGCTTATAACTAGGATGGCCAGTTTCATCTGAAACTACCTCGGAGCACTGATTCAATAGAAAAACGTTGGCCGGACCATTATTTGACTTTATGTGGATATTATTGCAGCGACCGTTAGATCGCATCGTCCGAATACGAGCCTTGGTCCGAGTGGTCTCATATAACGGCGTCGTAGGCGTTAATCGAATGACGTGATCTGAACTGTCTTTCATGACGCCATTGCTCAGTGCTTTGTCGAGGATGATGCCGTCATCCTCCAGATACACTTCTTCCAATAGGTCAACATTGTTGACAGTTTCCACGTTCATTGTTGTGCCGATAGGTGCCTTAATGATGATCGTTTGTTTATCACCGCCGTTGACTTGTTTCTGGCACATATCTCGATGGCATATGTAGGAGAATTTCTTATTGGTTGGATCGTCGATTATGTTGACCATCGATTGACGTGCCCAGGTGAGCTGCTTATCAAGTTTAATTTCACTGGCGTCCTGTTGAACAATCTCTTCTTTCAAAGACACCAGCTTTTCAGTTACTTCGTGAGTATTACAACCTGGCCCACCGCCAAGCCACTGTATAGAATTTTTAGACTTTTTCTCGATTAAACCAATACCCTCAAGGACATTGGTGATGTCATAGATACGACGTTTCTGGCGTACCTCAAGAATATCTGCAGCCTTTAGATGTAAACAAGAAAGAGTTTATTAAAATGTTTGCATCAAAAATTACCGGTCCGCTTACAAGTTTCAAATCGAGCACACCATTTTGCGATTCCTGAAGCAAAGTTACAAACTTTGTTGTCAAAAGACCGAGACTCTTCTCTTGTCTGGAGCCGTTGTTGTAGATATTATCTACATCTCGGCTGGAAGAAGTCGAAGGCGTGTCAGTTGACCGCTGGAGGAGATCCCCTAAGTCATCAGATGGTGATAACTGAATCCTCGTTTCAACTGGTTCTCTCAATGGCAGAAGTTGAACAAAATTTGGATTTTCTTCACTTTTTAAGTCATCAACATAATCGATGGCCTGAAGTGTTGATGTTGTTAGAGGAGCTGGTTCCGATAAGCCTGCCATCATTAGCATCATTTCGCGACGTATCCAATATCCAAACAGCCAGAATCGCGCGTTTGTTATCAGAAATCAACTGGCTAACTCGCCGAAAAAAATCCAGTCTTCGCTCGTAAACAGCGTGAGCTACGAGTATTTCAGTAGAGACATCTACCGTCAGTTCACGTTCATTTTTCTTTCCTGCATTTGTTTTTTTCAGTTTGTTTACAGCAGCTGTGCTTCAGCTCATCGGTCATCTGTACGTCTCTTCCTTATCTCTCTTTGCTCGGACACAGTACCATGAAGCAAATCAAGGTACAACTGAGCACAAGGGCAGAAGGCCTAATTGCCCACTACAACTTTGCCATATTTTAAACCTCGGACTCGGATATTTACCCTCATACTGCTGCTCAAGCCACATTTTTCCTGTGATAAATTACCATGTCATCGTTTCAGAGTGCAATGACAAAGCAACGTTGCCACACAAATGATTGAAGCAGTCCGAAATGCTGCTCCATCCTGCTTCCTACATCCGTGACATCTTTATCAACTTTGTTTGAAACTGTGATAGTGCTAGCAACCCCCGGTGCTGAAGAGCTCAACTGAAAACAACTGACCAAGCGGACCCAGACGGCGATTCACTTTTTTTTGGTGCACTGCAGGTACGCCTGACCCTGATCGAACTCTGACAAAATCTCTAATATTTTACTCATTGTCCATTTACTATGGCCAGACGGTTCCCCTTTGCGGAGGAGTGGAGGAAAGAAACTGGAAACTGAAGTGATCAATCATAGCGACAACCGTCGGCCTACTCTTCTTAATTTAATTGTCGTTTATTCAAATATTTACCGACCAAACAGTATACTATTTCTTCACTACTTCATCGTTTGTCTATTCATCCACGACAAAAATGCACTCGAAATAGAATCGCCTCAACCAATTCATCGTCAGCAGTAACGTTTTCAAGCAGTACCAAAGCGGCATCTCAAGCCACTTCGCCGAACCACATGCTGGGACACTGGCTGATAAGCGGCTACTGGGCTGTTGTTGCCTCTCGTTGCCAAGCTCACGGTCTGCTGATAGCTCTCACTGACTCAACTCTACCATCTGTGCTTCAGTTAAAAACTAACCGACCACCAAAGGTAACGTGGCCATACTATTTTTAGCTGCTCAATAATCCACCCATTTATAACTGTTCGGCTGTCTATTTGACCTTTGAACTTTTCGTGTTTTGTTTTCTGAACTTTTAGTTGAGTTTAAAATGCCTCTGATCATCAATTTCGTCATGATATTTTGATTAATTAACGGTATATTAAGTGCACTTAAATATGTCAACGCACTATTTTCAGTTTTCGCCTATCTTGTCGATGTGCTCTATTTTTCAGCTGCTTCATGCTGTTGCTCTATTTTTCAATTGTTTTCAGCAATTTACTAAAAATCACCGTTTTGCATATGTACAGCTTATTTTAATGCAAGCCTCCTTCGATTGGTTTGCGGTTTATGCAGTTTATTTGCTATTTTTTAAAATCTGGTTTCATTCAGATATTCTAAACTCTTTTACATTGTAGTACTATTTCTCCTTCACTTTGATATAGAGTTCATAAAAAATGTATACAACAGACGAAAGCAGTCACGCGTCAGTTGTGTTATGATTTTTTCTGTATGGGAATAATTTTCCACCTTTTTAGTCCTACTGTTCCGATTCTACCATTATTATTTATTTATCTCTAATATGTTTGTTTTCTACTGTTATCATTTTATGATTTAATTTGCTTTTTACTTTCTCTGCTTGTATGAGCTTTTGACAGTATCGGTTGACTGTGACAATTTCTAGGAAAATTTTAATGCGTCTAGAATTGCTTTTCAATGAATTATTTAACGGTGTGGGCGTACTGCTGCTACTGGCGGCATTTTAATTTGTTTGCTTTAGTTTGAAGATGAAGCTTTTGAGTACGATTGCTTTGGTTAACTTTTAGTTTAAAGTTTTCTACATTGAAAAAGGGCTTTTGATGCGATTATAAATTCTTCGTAATAACAAAATAGTTTCCGATTGCATTTTTAAAGTGCGTTTTTTAGAACTAAAATGTTTTGATAAACTTTTACTGGTTTTTTTATTTTCCAGTCAACTGTCAAAGCTTTGAGCTATCTGTCTGATTGTTTTATTTATTTTTTATGATTGTTTGGCCACTTTTTATTTTCTGACAACCTAAATTGTTTTCAATTTATCAAGTGCTTTAAAAGCGAGTTGTGCTTCTCTCACTGCTTCCAAACCGGTCTGTGTTTTTAGTACAATTGAACGGTGTCGTACTGTTTTGTCAATTTCTTCCCCAGCGACTTGCAGTCTTACATTATCTGCTTGACAATTTCTATGTTTGTCGCCTTTTCAATTATATCTTTTCCCGCCACACTGAAATAATATTCACCACTTTCTCATTAGCTTTTTTGTTACTTTTTATTTCAAACTTTTGACTCTTGTTTACAACAATGACAACTAATCTTCTATTTCTCTTCCTCTATTTGAAAATAGATTGACAGAACTGTCAATGGGCTGGCTTCGTTGAAGGCATATCTGCAGCACTTCTAAACTTCCAGCGAAGCATATCACCTTATCGTCTGCTTCTTTTTCCAGCCAAACCAATGTGCGATTAGAAGCATATCAGCAACACTTACCGTCTAAGTCAACTCATCTAAGTCCATTTGCCAAAAATGCCAAACTTGAAACGTTATGATGGTGTCTCTTCCGACATTAACCCTGGCCTGCATAGTCCCCGGTCGTCTGTGTTCAAGTGGCTTTACAGGAAATACGTTCGCCTGTGGCTGCATGCGCCTTCCTGGTCCAACAATTGCATTCTCACATTGTTTTTTCTCTTTTTCGTTTTCATCATCGCCTCAACACATCTGTACATGGGACTACAAGCAAGTGACGAAGCGAATAGACTTGAAAAAAGGCCTGGCGGAGAGTTCAAGTATTTCCAAAATTTTAGCCATATTAGCAAGTTCTCATTGAGGCCATTGTTCACTCGAGTTTCGGTGGATTACTCCAAAATGGAGGCCGCTCGACAGATTGATCGTCAGCTGGAGAAAATTGAATCGTCACTTCAAGAAAACCGCGAAATCTTGAAACAAATACGTGCCAATATTCATGAAGCCGAGTTGGGGCGTTTGGATACAAAAATTAATTCTTCAGTTGACGGAGATGCTTCCAAATACTACGACTCAATTCGCTTAAAGGACAATCTTTTTTATTCAAAGCACAGTCTGCCAAACTGTGTCAATCCATCCTCATTAACATCAGGTGATGTGAACATGGCACGAGTTTATGAAGAGCTTCCTTTTGACGATCCAGACGGTGGCGTCTGGAAGCAAGGCTGGGAGGTGAAAGCACCACCGGAAGAGTTTGCCGTTGAAAAGCAAGCAAAGTTAAAAGTTTTTGTCGTGCCACACTCTCACAACGATCCTGGCTGGATCAAAACATTTGATGCTTACTTTAGAGAGCAGACCAAGGCCATACTGACTAATGCTGTAGAACAAATGTCGAAAAATAAAGAAATGAGGTAAGTTTGTTTGCTAACTTTGATGTTCTAATATACAAATAACATTTTGTTCTTTGCCTTCAGGTTTATCTGGGCTGAAACTAGTTACCTATCTGCTTGGTGGGAAACGGCGCCGACAGAGCAACATCGCGATCTGATGCGCCAACTAATAAAAGAAGGCCGTTTTGAGATTGTCACTGGTGGCTGGGTAACACTTTAAGTGAAATTAAAAAGAGCTTGCCTTTAACAAATGTTATTTTCTAGGTTATGAACGATGAAGCAAACACTCAGTACTTTTCAATGATTTCTCAAATGATTGAGGGACACGAGTGGTTACAGGTAAATCGTTGTTGAATTGGGGCAAGTTTATGTGAAATGTAAATGACTTTTTGCAATTTCTTTAGGACACATTCAAAGTCACACCTAAGCATGGCTGGGCAATTGATCCGTTTGGAATGTCACCGACCATGGCGTATCT